AAAAAAAAAATAGGGCTGGGGATGTGGCTCCATGGTTCAATGCCCCTGGGTTCAATCCCTGATACCAAAATAAATAAATAAATAGAAGATTTTCAAATGTAAATATTGGGGCATTCCCAACCCAAGTCTCAGGGTCCAAGTGCTTCCGTGTGTGGGCCCTGGCTGTTGCATAGACCTTCTGGGACTGGGGACTCAATTGCTCTGCATCTCCACTGAGCTCCTGAGCTGGGGGTCCCCTGCTCAGTTTGCTCAGCAGCTCCAGTAGTTAGGAGTCCCTCTGCAGGTTTTCTTGAATTGGTGGTGAATTCACTGAGCCCACCAACAGAGCTCTTGACCACCTGGCACTCCCATGGTCGCCTTGTTCCCTCCTTAGAGTTCTGCCGCTTGTCTTACAGCCTCAGGTCGCTCTTTCTACCAGAATCACTTTCCCCCGTAGCTCGTTAAGTTGGCAGAAGCAGCCACAGTGTTTTACATCCTGTTGTGACTTGTTGCATGGTCAATTTTATCAAGTGGGATTTGGCCCATTATTCAAAGTGGACGGGATTTTGCATCTCGGTTTCTCGTTCACTGTTTTATCTTTCCAGTTTTGTATCTCCTGTAAATTGGACAGACATAACATCTATATCTTCATTCAATGTATTGATAAACATATTAAGTGGGCTTGGGTCAAGGTTGATAGAAGTGTTGAAGGGGGCTGGGTAGAAGCACGTTCTTGAGATGTGCTATTACAAAGCACGCTTCATCAGTCTCACTAAGCCAACAAATGTTTATTGAATATCTGATATTTGCTGAGCAACCTCCTGACGTCGGAGATATAATAATAAATAGGGAATGTCGCACGATCACAAGCTCCTTATGTCCTTTATACAGGTTTACATCAATCTATTCATTTTCTCTCTTTGTGCTGGAGTATTCGCTAAGCTATAAATACACCGAAATATACTATTCTTTAGCTCTGTGGTTCCTGGAAATTTTAATTTAGTGGATCGGTAAAAACCTTAATAAAAATGACAAGAATGAGGGGTAACATAAGCAGGGTTTTTTCCTCCACTGGTAATTTTGCAATGTAAGATATTGTTTGAAAAATTCTCTGTAATACCATCATTTCATCAAATAAAGGGCACGGTCACTGTCCTCTTGCAGTTTACAAACTCATGGTAGCCAGATGCTAAGCAGAGAAACACGGGACTGAATACAAAGTAAAGACGTGAGGCTTGTGTTACAGAAAGCAGCAGGGCGTGAGAGTGGAGAATAAGGGAGGCAGTCAGGGGACACCGATCAGAGGAGTGACATTTTGTTTGATGCAAGAAGGAATATGAAGGACCTGGCCATGAGGACAGCCCCAGAGAAGCCACTCTGGGCACAGACAAGTGGGAGCAGAACCTCTAGAGGGCGCAGGCTGGGCTTGGTCCCTGGGCATAGTTGAGGTCAATGTGAGCAAGGAGGAGCATCCATCGAGAAGGTGGGAGAGTGTGGACAGAGGCGCAGGATGAGCTGTGAGTGACGAGCAGGCCTCTCCTCATGTTGCCTGCCAATGTGTGGCAGGGACTGATGACTCTGTAGCCAGCAGTCGGAAGGCTGTGCATGACCTCACCGCCCCACTGAGCCTCTAGGTGCCTTGGACACTGAACTGCTGGCTCTCCCAGCAGGAACATGCCACTCCCTGGAGCATCTGGCATCCGAGCTCCAAGAAGAACAACAGGAGGTGGCATCCCTTTCCTGGGCACCACCTAGGATGCTGGTGGACAGCGTGCCACGCGGCACAACTGCAGAATGCCTGCCTGTGAGTTCTACGTGGCTCTGCGCTGCTTACTGAGACCATCTGTTGACAAGAGAGGTTGGCTGGAGTCAGACTGGGTGGGGCTTTCTAAGCCACAATAACGGATTTCAATTTTATTCAAGGTGCAAAGGGAAGCCATTGAAAGGTTTTGAGCAAGGAAGTAACACAGTCTGATTGAAGTTTTAAAAAACCACTCCCTCTGCTGGATGTGTAGGAGAGGATTCGAAGATGACATGAGTTAAAGCAGGGAACCGGTTGGAAGGCTATTGAATTAGCTTGGATGGAAGGAAGTGATGGAGCAAGAGAGTTCACAATGCAAATAGAGAGAAGTAAATGGATTCTGCATGCAGATAGGAAGTAGAAAAGATAAGGGTTATTAATAGGTTGGATGTGGGGCATTATGCAGAAAGACATGATGCCTAGAGATCTGGTCTGAGCCACTGTCCAAAGCAGATGGCCTCCAGGGCATTATGGGAAGGTATGGAAGCTCTATTCATGTGGATAGGGGAGAGGGAAGAGGGAATCATTTCAAGAGAGAAAAGAATTGGTTCCTTTGCAAAGTTAACTTGGGGATATCTGTGAGACAATCAAATGGAGATGGTAAGCGGGTTGTTGGATATATGAATCTGGAGTCCAAAAGAGGGTCTGGGCTGGAAATAGACATTTTGGAATATTCATTGTTTAGATGATATTCAAAACCATGGATTGAGGAGAATGTGGAATGATGAAAAGTAGAGACCAGTTCTGAGATCTTGGGAAGGTCAGCATAGAAGATCAGGAAGAAGAGGTAAGAGAGAGACAGGAGAGACAATAGAGAAGAAAGAAGTTTGATCCCATGAAGAAAGAGGAAATCCTAAGGGGGAATCTGTGAATATCAAGAAAGGAAAGTGTTTAGGAAGGATGTCCTGCTAACCATGGGCAATACTGGCCAGGCTCAGAGAACTCGGGACAGAGAAATCGGGACCTGCACATGTGGGAACTCAAATGTTTACTGTTCTAACATCTAAATGGTCTAAATTTTTGATAACAAAAATTTCAGTGTTGGAGGGTTGAACCAGCTTGAGATGGGTGGGTCAGAAGTGAACAGAGGAAGAATAATGGGTGTGGTATATTGTAGGAGAGAGAAAGTAATCTTCTGTCACCCATTGCAGAGCTCATGGGTGACACCCTTATACCAAATGATAGATTAAGAGAAAAGCATAAGGAATTCATTTATCAAAGTTTCACATGTCCTGGAAACTGTTGGTAAATGAAGACCCACACACCCAGGGAAAACCAGGTGTTTTCATGTACAAGTGGATACTTGGGGAGAAACATGTTGGATAAAAAGTGGGAACTTGGCAAGGCCTATTCAGATTCTACTTGGATTTGGGTGGGGGCAGAAGCTCTCTGGCATGAGGTCTTAGGACTTACTTTAGGGAGAGCTAGGTCTGTGGATTCCTTTGTGACCACGGGGAATGAAGGCTGCAAAAGGTCTGGGTGACTTTCTTGTGTCTGTGATTTTCTGTGATGCCAAGGTGCATATTTTGGGGTTATCATGGTTTGAGTCTCAGCAATCTGTAGAAAATTCTTATAAGACGATTGGCCCTAAAGAGGGGTATAGGACTGGAGTGTCAGCTGGAGAGGGAAAGGGAACTAAATGAGGATTTTTAAAGAATGGAAGGTATCAGGCACTTTGTTGGCTATTTGGAAAGATGTGAGAGCTGGGGATAGTTTGGCTGTAAAGGAGAGAATTAATTGAAAGCATGTCATTGGTGGGTTGTGTCAAAGAATTTCCAGAACCTATGTTTTCCTGAAACCCTTCAGAAAATTGATCCATTTGTCCCTGTGTTCTTTGAATCTTTAAGTGTACAATTATAGGCTTTATCCTCCCAATAGCAAGCTCTTCTCATTCTAGATTGGCTGCAGTCTAAAACTCAGAAGTCACAGCATGTCAGCATTCCTTTCCTACCCCACACTTACTTCTGATCAAAGTCTTCAAACTGACGTCAGTGGCTAAGTGGTCATGCCTGTCCTCGGCCTTCAGTTGATGTTGCACTATTTGCTCCAAGAAAAAAAAAAAAAGTGTTCTTTACCCTGTAAATACCAGTGCATCTGGGAGAACATTTGTATGGTCTTTTCCAAGGTCACCCTTGCTCAGTATCAGCTGTGACTCTAGAGATAGTTCTTTTTGGGCACCTACCCTCTGGCATTCTCCCTGGTGATGTGTCTATCTGTGCTGCTTGGTTTAGCTGATTTCTCAGTATCCTTTATATCTAAGTCAGATATTGTGGTCATCATTCTACCATGATTTAGGAAACAGTTCTTGCCAATGAAAGGTTTGGAAATGACCAAACCAAACCAAACCAAACCAAACCATTATGGTATGCAAAATGTTTGCCTCACCCCATGTGTTGAAACACTAACTCCCAGTGGGATGGTGTTGGGAGGTGGGACCGTTGGTAGGTAATAGTCAGATTGGTGCTCTGTAAGAAGGGGTGCTAGAGAACCTGATTCTTCTCTCTCTGCTTTCCACCTCGATGTGAGGGTAGAGCAAGAGGACGGCTATCTGCAAATCAGACTTTGATCTGCCGCCATCTTGTTTTTGGACTTCCCAGGCTCCAGAACTCTGAGAAATAAATATTTGTTGCACAAGCCATTCATTCTGTGATAATGTGTTATAGTAACCTGAATTGATGAAGATACCACATTCTTCAGTTTTGCCTTGCCCGAGGTGAGCCAACACTCCCACGCCTGGAGCCCATCCCCAGTGCGCACGTCTATGAGGATAATATGCTTTCTTCTTTTTCAGCTGAGTTGGTGTTTTCTATATTTTTTGGTCAAACCATTCTTCCTTCATTCCTTTAAAAAATGAATGTTCATCAGAGAGCTTCTTGTACAGGAAAGTTGTTTTCTGTACCTGCCCTCATGTCTTCTTAATAGGTACCAACTCAGTTACATCCTGAGAATTTCTAGTTTAGAGCCTCCCAACATCTCCTTCAGTGTCCCGATGCTATAAAGTTTGAGGCACCCATATTTAATGGTCTGTTATCCCCATAGACATTCAAACGAGTGCTAGAACACGCGTTTCGACACCCAGCCTTCTTTTCTTCAGAGTTTCCATCGCACCAATCGCACCATAAAAATCTGTTGTCTGATGACACGTCCTGACTTTTGGTTTGGGGATATGGCCCCTGTTCTTTGAGAGTCTATCCCTGGCACCAGACTGATGGGGAGGTTTGAAGCCTTCTTTCCAAAAGTGACTTATCTGACAAGAGCCAATGTTTCTTTCATTCACAATAACAACCGCCAACGTGACACAGTCCCTTTCTCCCAAGGTTCCCGTCACTTCTGCTTCATCAATCTGTTCTTCCTTGTTGATCGGAATCAAGTCCAGGACAGCAGTTCCCTTTCTTAATCTTTTCCTTTCTGGGTCGGGATTGTCAGTGTGGCGAGTCGGGTTGCACGAGTGGGACAGACCCAAGGGAGGTATTTGTGGTAATTCACATGCCTGGAAGGAAGGAGTTGGATGTGAGCGTCAGATCAGCAGGGAAATTGGATTTATTTTGGACACTCTATCAGGAGGAAAAGACCAGAGCCGGGGGAGAAATTGAGGTGATTGAATAGATCAGACCCAGGCTAAAGGCTGCCATCCTTCCTTTCAAGAAATGAAACACTGGTTCTTGGAGACGCTGTGTCTGCAGTAGGGAGACACTGTCAAGTGCTGACAGACCTGAGACGAGATGCAGACCACTTGGTGTTGGGGCTGGCAAATGTCAGCCAGAGATGGAGCGGCAGTGGGAGTGGCCATCGGCAGCCACTCACCTGGTGCTTCTCCCCATGAACCGGGTGGATCTTGTTGGTGCCGGCTACTGGCAGGGTCCGGAGGGCTGGCTAGCAGGTGGCAGGAGTATGGGGTCACAACAGAGTTTTCTGGTGAGGGGCAGGAGAGTGGGATGGCTTTAGGGTCAGGTGGCCCTGGGTTAGAGTCTCCCTTTCGTTCCCAGGTCTGATCACCGGTTAGTTATGTCACCCCCTGCATGTCCCCATCCTCCTCTGTGGGTACAGATAATGCACCTTTCCACAGGGTGGTGAATTTGACTTGAACCATGTCATACAGAAGTTTCACAGAGTGAGGACCCAGGAGATGAGAGCACAGGGAGTAGAAGAAAAGGACTTCAGTGGGCTCGGAGGATTCCTGGGGAGCTCTATAAGGAGGCGGGAGCTGAATGGAGGGGATAGGACCTAGGAGGGGGAAAACAGTAGGGCTGGGAGGTGGGCATTCCAGGAGAACTGAGGGCAAGAGATGGCACCCAGAAATAGGGTCCAGGGATTGCCAAACTAGGGACAGGCAGTGGGGACCCAAGTGGACTCTCCTCAGTGTAGGCACTGTGGAGGGGGAAGTAGAGGCACAGAAAATGTGTCTCTGTCCCATGAGTGCACTCTCCAAGGAGCAGTTTTATGGCTAGTTATAGGTACTGTGTGGCAAAGAGACTGTATAGACAGACACCGGAAAGGTAGAAATGAAAATCTGAGCTTATCTTGCAGAGAGATCAACTTGCGCCAGCAGTGTCTACCCTTGGAGAAAAAAGGCCCTGAGAGGCCCCGAGCCTGTGTCTAGATGGCAGCCTGGGCAGACCTTGCCGTGGGGCAGCTAGGAGTCTGTCCGTGCGAGTCCCTTCCACTGTGAGGCTTTCTTAAATGCACATTGAAATACAGGAGCTTTGCTAAACGCACTCAGGGGAAGGCGATTTAAACACTCCTGCTGACCCAGCAGTCGTGCCACCAGCGCACCACAGAGGGAACCTGGGGGGAGACGCGCTGCCGATGCTGGGCTGTTCTCAGGTTTCCCCCCTGGTGCGTCTCGCAGTGTGGGCCTTTCCCGGGTTGCAGGGGATTCTGGTAAAGACGCAGTTCTGGGTTCTGTGACGTTTTAGTTTACCTGGAGACACCTTGCCCCACACTGGATGCCATGGACTGAACGTGTCCTTCCCTGTGAACCCACTTTGTCAAACTTGAACCTTGGTGTGATGGGATTTGGAGGTGGGGCCTTCAAAAGGTGCTTAGGGTCAGGTGAGGTCATGAGGGGGAAGTCCCCATGAGGGGTCTGGGGCCCTCCTAAGGGGATGAAAAGATGGGAATTCTCTCTCCTCACATGGTGGAGCCAAGAAGGCAGGCCTCTGCAGACCAGGAGGAGGCCCGAGCAGTCGGCACTGTGATGTCGGACTTCCCGGCCTTCACAGCTGTACGGGGTTTGCTTCTGCTGAGTAAGGGGCATCTTTGTTACAGCAGCTCAGGCTGGCCAAGACGTTCACCATGACGTTGGACTATACACGTCATAAAACACCTCAGAGTGTAGGGGACACACAACACACACGATTTAGAAAAGAAAAAGAGGAAGACGGGAAGGAGGAGGGGGAGGAAGGAGGAGGAGGAAACCAATAATGGAGCCCCACCCAGGTTGACAGACCAATGTGGATGCCCCCGAGCCCTCCACGTCCCCCTCCTGATCCCTTTGCCTTGTGTCCCTGCTGAGTCAGCTACCGTCCTGCCTTGCTTTCCTTTGTCATTCTCCCACCTAGTCACCCATCCCTAAATACCACCCTGTCGGGGGTTGTGTGCCTTTGAATTCCATCAAAACTGAGCCATGGGGCTGGGGTTGTGGCCCTGGGTTTGATCCTCAGCACTACATAAAAATAAATAAAAATAAAGGTATTTTTTTTTAAAAAAAAACACCACACATTAAAACAATGGCAAAAATCAGAAACAAAAGCTGAGCCATCCTGTGAGTATCCCTCGAGACTTGCTCCTTTCCTCCACCTTGGCTCTGTGCCCTGGGTCGGGCTATTTTGTCATAGCTTGCTGCGCCCTTAGGGCTGTGCACCATTCCCTCACCTGCTCTCCTGTTGGCAATTGAGTGTGGTTGGCAATATTTGGCCCTCACAGTGTAGGGGGATTACCTTTACCTGGCTGCTGAGGCGTGGGTTTGGGGTCACGAGCCTGCTCACCTTTGCTAGGTCATGCCGTCTAAGTGGTGCACCAGGTTATGCTCCCATCGTCAGGGGATGGTGACATTCGTTGCTTCACGTGCTCCGCTCGCCATCATTCTGTATTGTGTGTACGTGTATAATATAATTACGTACATAACATAGTCATTAGATATATTTAATTTGTGCTCCTGTAATAATATAAGAGCCGCACTTTCCAATCTTTGCGTAATGTTCTTTATGGACAATTTAAGGAATTTGCAAGGGTGGTATTTCTCTTATTCAATTTCTTCTTTTCCTTTGACATTAGAATATACCTCTCAAATAAAAATGTAGC